AGCCGAGCGCTATCAGCTCCTTCCGGAGCTCCGCGTCTGTCAGCTCCGCCATGGCCGCGGCGCTGACACCAGGCCCCACCGGAAGCGCTCCGCGAGCAGGGAAGTGCGGGCGCCATCTTGGGAGGGGCCCGCCCCTCGGGCGGCCATCTTGGGAAGGGCAAACGCGGGGCTCCCGCGGCCTCCCCCGTCCGCACGGCCGGCGCCATGTTGATAAGGGAGGCGGGGAACGGGCGCCATATTGAGAAGGTCGAGGGAAAGCGCTGCTTCCCGGCTACCGCTCCCGCCATCTTGTGAAGGGAAGGGTGGCTGGTTCCGCCATGTTGGGGAAGGCAGGAGCTCTTGCAGAAAGGGAAGGGCGCCGGGCGGGAGCTGTTGCTCATCTCAGGAGAGGGAAAAGAGGGGAGAAATGGAGAAAGCAAAGGGCAAAAGCAGCCTCAGCATCTGGGGCCGGCCAGTGTCACCACTCCCCTCTGGGGGACCCTGCTCAGGAGCAAGCAGGGGGGTTGAGCACCTCTTACCTCACTCCGACCAAGCTACACCGACGTTTTGACACTTTTAGAGACATTTATGAGGAGAAAGAAATGTCTTTCCCAGCTGCCTGCCACCCCCCCACATGTTTTCCTCATCCCTCTCATCACTGCCAAGTTACAGTCGTTTAACTGGCACCCGTCAAGTGGGCTGGAGCTTTGCCACCGCTTTCGGCAGGATCAGGATCTGGGTCCTCGGGATATTTGCCGGGGAAGGAGGTTACTTGCATACTTTGCAGCCTAAAAAGGCAAAACCAAGCGTCAACTTGAAAATTTATTTTGGCAAGGCAGTGATGTACAGTAATTGCTTTTTCCTGCTGCCGCCTATAAAGAAAGTGATGAAAGTGGCTGAAATACTGTGGCGTAATATCGGCATTTAATTAAAGATAATGAAAAAGCAGTGATGCATGCGTGCAGGCTGTCTGTGCGTCGCTGTTTTTATGATCGACGCATGATACCGGGGAGTGGTGGAAACTTGGCGGTCCCGCAGCAGCGGGACCTGCCGCGAGTGGGAGCTGGAGGGGGCTCCGGGAGAGCACAGCGTGGACCGCCGCCGCTTGCTACCGTGAGGCTGGGGATGCTAAACTGTGCCTCCGCGACATAAAAACTTCTTTAGGGATACCCCTCCTTTCATGCTCACTTTGCCGCCGTGCCCTTCTTGTTTAGGGCATCAGGCAAAGCTCGCCTCGCTGTTCCTGATTTATGCAAGAAAGCAGCAACAAGATGTTGAGGTTTGTTAATCTGGTTAGCAACAACAAATATACACTTGGTAGAGGCTAGGGAGCCCATTAAAAGAGCATACTCAGTTCCGATGGGAAGTGTGAATGTGCTAAGCTGAGCCTCCCCTGCTCACTAACTGGAAAGCACAACTGACAGCTAATAATTTGGAGTGGTGTCTAATGTAAATACAGAATTAGAATATGCTCTTTGTACACATTTTTTGTAAGTTTACAGCTTTCAGTTTGGAGAAGCTCTGCCTAGACGTGCAGATGCATGCTGGCATCTAAGCCTGAGATGATATGAGCTCATGAATCAAATGAAGTCCTCTTGCTTTGGAGAAAAAGCACAACAGCAGCAACAACAACAAAAAAAAATCCCCGAGCCTTCAACTTTTTCGTGTTTCTGGATGTCAGGGAAGTTACACCAGGACAGAGTTTGGCCGAGGAGCCTCATTGCATGACCTTCAGAGTGGAGAACATGGGAGTGGTGCTCGAGAACTGGAGGGCTAGGGAAAAGCTGTGATTCCTTTGCAGAAGGGAGGTTGGTGGCGCCGATGCTCGGCAGGAACAGATGCCTCTTCTTTGTGGAGAGAAATCCACGACCCCTCTCCCTTCCTCCCTAGCAAGACAACCCTTGGGAGCATCCCTGCCTTCCCTGGAAGGTTATGTGAACACCACAGAGAAGGCAGCAGGAGAAGACAGCCCTCTGTCTCTCAGATGTGACAGAGCCTATAGCCCCATGGACAAGCACCTATTTGTTCCCATCACCCTGCCCACAGTGCCGATGATGAGGCTGACGGTAGATTTTCTGCTTTTTGCAGCCCCTTCATCATCCCCACAGCTCTGGGCAGCAGCAAAGGCTGCTGGGGCGAGCACAGGCCTGCTGATGCTGCAGATGGGCTGTGATGCTCAGAGATGCTCGGCTGTGAAAAGCCAGTTTCCCAGCCCACGATGCAGCTCTCGAATATCTTGGCTGTAAATATCCTGAGCTGGATGTGGGAAGATGGGACAGCGAGGAGGGGACAGCCTCCACCTTCCCTGCTAGCCCAGAAGCTGCCTTACGCCTGCTGGCAGTGACTCAGATATCGAATGGGAAGAGCAGGCATGCCATGCCGTCTGCTTCTCCTCCTGAAGTATCAAGACAGGACTGGTGTAAGCAGAGGGGTAGAAATAGATCTGCACCATCTTCATAAAGTGCCTGAAGAGGGGAGCGTGCTGCACCCCAAAAAGCATGGGCAGCAGATGAACCCTTCTACCCCTGACTGAGGGGCTGCTGAAAAAAAGCCGCCATCCCACCCCCTCTTCTTATCCCATGGCATTTGGACGACAGTCCTGCATATGTCACCAGGGGAAGTGTCAAATCTTACTTGGAAGCCAACTGTGCCAATTTAACACCCTGTCACTCACAGCCGCGGCACAGGTGTGACCCAAGAACACCGCTTCTCATCCTCCCGATCGTATGTCATGTCCTCAGCCTGCCGAGCTTCTTATTAGGTTAGAAAGTCAGCGCTGATTTCGTTCTTTTCTCTCCTTCTCCTTGCCCTGCCTCTTTCCCCCAACTGTTTGGCTGCTCATCCTGCCACGAAACTCTTGTTTGGTTTCTGGAGCAGCAAGATCTTCCTACCTGCTTGCAGGCATGGACTTAGGTGCTGCTGGCTGCCAAAGCAGCCTTTCCAGGGCACTGGGGATACAGATCTGTCTTGCAACTTGGAGACCATTTTGCTTCTCAACAAGAAATATAGCCCTGACAGTGGGAGCCATGCCTGGAGGATGGTTGGGGTCCATCCACCTTCTCCTTCCAGCAGATGGATATCTGCTTCTTTCCCACTACTCAAGCCCCTGAGGCTGGAAGGAATTGACTTCCAAAAGCTGAAGCCCCCCTTGCACTTTGGTGCCTATTTGAACAGCACAGTTATTGCTGCAAGGACAAGACAACGGGTTCATACAGTTGCTGTCACAACCAGCCATACGTCCCTGAGCTCATTTATAGCTGCGTCAACTGGGAAGAGCCATTGGCACAGCTGATGGCCAGGGTAAAAGCAGACCTTTGCTGCTGCAGCTTGTCTAGGTCAAAATGTAAGAGTAGAGGGAGCCATCCCTGCAAAGTCACATTGGCGGATCTCCTTATGGAAGTCTCTGCAGCATCAGCTCCACCATCACCGTGGTGGGAAATGGTCCAGGGAGCAAATCCAAGAGGCTCATGTTCACTTTCTTTCTTGCTGTCACTGGGCAACGTTCCTTCCTGGA